GATCGAGAATCCATTAAAGTCACTCGTGCTACTTAAGCTTTTTGTTTTATTTCGACAGAACATTATTGATAATCATAATCAAATGTTGACTGCATATGTCATACTATTTGTATTATTCACGCATATATACCGAAAAGATCATAGAGCGTATAGGGTAAATATAGTATTTTTATGTAAATTGTTATATAATGTATGCTCCAAAAAAAACTTTGAATTAAATATAACAAATCAAGATTAATCGCGAACAGAAGTCTTCCAGAGATCCATATAAACGCGTTCGCGAAGTGATTAACAATTCTTGCTTGGAAAATTAGAGCACACACATGGCCTTTAAAATTTAAATGCAACGGAAGCTTACATCAATTTCTTCACGATTAAGCTTTATGTTGACTTATGTTACTGGACGAGTCCTAAATTATGGTTCATGACTATGGTTATTATGTAAATTCAAAACGTTGGAAGAATTTATAAAGGAAGTTCGTCACGAGCTTTGCGTGCGCTTAGCTATCGGCGTAAATAGCGCCTCTTGGATATGACATAATCATTTAACTTCAAAATAGGTTTGCCCGGGACGGCTGCTGAAAACAGAGTATTCCACGAAGAAAGCGCTCTAGAAGTTTAAGCACGACACAGCAATCTTTTTTACAACAACCTTTTCTTTCTTCTCTTAAAAGGCAAAGAGAACTAAGTAAAGATAACACTGGATGTACGTAGGTGGAGAATGGATCTTGTGGACAATAAATTTCTGTTCGCAAAGAGATGGTTAACATATTCAAATCATATGACTTGAGTTCAGTTATGACGAAAATTCGAAAAGAAGATGTTTGTGTTACGTAAAAGGATATTTACTAAAGCAGTCTGGACAATTATTTGCATCAACTTTCACATCGATTTTGATTGGAGGTGATAAGCTTTTTTCATTTTACATTGTTTGGAAAGGAGTCTCGTTTTGATCATTTTAAATATAGTCGTCGTTGTAGAGAGATTAGAGTGAGAGAGAGATAGAGAGGGGCGGCTTATCCAAATCGATTGAACACGTCGAGCCGATCATTTTGGTCAACAACTTGTATATCTTTGTGAGTGAGTTTTTAGTGCGTTTCTCCGCGTTGTTACAAACAGTAGGATAAAATTAGTATAATTATTATTATTAGCTACCGTTTAATCTTTTAAAAGTAGGTGCAAAAGAACAAAAGTAACATAATTTCGTATTCGTATTCAAACGGTGTTACATACTGCCTCAGGTTACGTACTCAACAATTTGAACAGATGTTTTATAAGTTCAAATTCATGCAAACATTTCCATCATAAATCCATAATCTTTAGAGTGCACGCACAAGTCCACATTAGAACATAAGTTATGTATGAGTAAAGTGAATTCTTTTATATTTCGCTTCTTTTTATTTTTTCTTGAAAAATCTTGCTAATAAATCCTTGGATAAATAAAAGCGAAATATTTACCAAGAAAACTCGATATTATGATATACAAAGTTTTACATTTACACACAACAAAATTAAAATACACCTCAGATAGAACTTTAAACTCGTGCACTTATTGTGTTTGTGAAGTGATTTCGTTCACTCTTTCAAAATTATACAAACGTAAAGTTGATTACTGGGAAAGCGCAAGAAACATGATCAATCAGTAAGTTTACATGCATCATCATAGGTCATAACTTAGAATCCGGTTTCAATTTCCCCAAGGCCCATATTCCTAGAGTCTGACACGTTCCAAAATTTTGGAAAAGTTTACACAACAACTCGTTTGAAAACACTGTAGTGTTGCAAGTTTATTTAATAGATCCGGAATGGAGATTAAATGGAAATTCAATATTTGATTTTATGTAAGGCAAAAATGCATATTAAATTTCGAGTTAATACTACAACATTTTTCTTGGGGTGTATGACTTTTCTTGTCTCGTTGTTCCGGCCAAAGAGTTGAGAGAAGTGAAAGCAACTACATAAAACAGTAGCAGTAACAACAATAATATTATACAGCAGGTGTTAAGGCTGAGCTGAAGCTTTGCCTTCAGTTGTAAATATTTCTGCAGTATTATGATGTTACTGCATAAAGTCGCAGAAATATTTTACAGCACTTGAAACCATTACCAGCAATGTTGCTGGATATTTTGCATTTTTGTGAAATTATCTCAATACAGCTCCCATTACTATTGCCGGCACCAACTGCGCCATACGAACTGTCAATACACCATTTAACAAAGCAAAAAATCTGCAATGTCAACAATTGGGGTTAATTTTACAAAAGACGTTTTTAGCTACTGGCTTAAGGAGGTGTTATGTATTGTTTACTAAAGACTTCTTATGGTCTTAAATTTTGTAATTTATTAAAGTAACACAAATGTACTTTGAAGCATGCCATCCCCAAAATCGTCAATACATGAAAATATTTCAACAACAGTTATTCTAAGCGGTTGGCATCTAAATTTTTGATAAATTTTAGATTTCCAACCATTGGTTGCGGTGTAAAGAATTTGTCTTTTGCCTTTCATTGCAATGCTGACTTCATGTATGGGTCAAAACATAATTCATTCTTAATTTAACTGCTTTAGATACGCTGGTCTTTTGATTTCACTTCTCGACGTTCATTGTAGGGTGCTTGTGCTAAGTTCCGCCTTTTCCCCTAAAAATTTCTCGATTTCGTGGATCAACCAATAAACGTATATCAGGTTAGACTATTAGTTTATATGTATGACATCTCAGAAGTATCAAACGTTTGTATTACCGAATGGTGTAATAACCTGATCTGATATTTGCTTGTGAGTTCATCCGACTGCATACACCATCGTTCTCTTTGCTTGTTTGTCCGCTTAAGGCGATGGGATGCGTTCTTCGGTTTTTTGTGCTTTCACACCCATGAGGTTGTTTCATTTTTTAAGTGGTATTGTTCTGAAAAACATTCTAAGATGCGAAAGGGCTCGCTCTTTTCCAACATATCGGTCCTACACTTTCTGCTTATTATTATTATGGTTCAGAGATTCGGGAGTTTTTAAAAAAATCATATTTGAAGTTGAAAAATATTGTCTTTAAATGAAAATGAAATGAAATATGAAATGAATATGGCACACGTACGTAACACATTCGATACGGTTTCATTGCAATGCAATACTTCTTTAATCTTGTTTTGGATTAACAAACATTATCTGTGGGTAAGAAGTTCTCAATATTCAATTGCCTAACTTTTCTTTTACTTGCGCCCTAAGTATCATTGGGATTTATCTGCATTATTAAAATTCTTTTTAATCCTTCTTTAAGGATTAAAATTTTGTTTGGTGAAGTTGTGAAAGAGTTAGTCGTAACTTTAATCTAGTAATGGAGAAAATTCTTTCAGCTTCCGTCCCATTTAATTTGGTGGATTTTCTCAGAGAACATAAAACTTTAATTTTTTGTTCTTTACTATAAATTGTGTGTATGTGTGCCATTGATGCCTTATCAAGTAGAATGCTTTTAATAAACTATTTATTAAATGGAAAACTTAAGAGTTTCATATATTAAGACCAACGTTTGCTCTTACCAAACAATAGTAGTGAACCAAAAAGAAATATGAAAAATAATATTATATTTAATAATTAATTTATGAGAAATTTTTAATAATGTTTTCATGTTATCGAGAGGAAGAGGGGCAGGAGAACAGCAAACTGTTGATTTTGCAAAAGTAGCTACGCGCTTTTATTGCTTTTAAATCAATTCGTTGCAGAGTTAAGTTACTCATTACACGATTTTAAATATCTTGTATTAAGGACAATTACCGTTGTTACTTTTAGTTTAAGCTCCAATTTTGTTGTGCGATTAAAAAGACAGATCGACTTGAAGTTTCACAATCCGCAGAAGTAATGAAACTTTGAAACATGACAGTTACATCATTCTTTTACTGCTTCTCAGTGAGACGGTAAGTTCGCTTATGCATTATAAGCGATTTAAGATTGATGGCCATATTCCTAGCAACATCACCGAGACATCACAAAACATTGTTTTCTGTGTATATTCCGATACTTAATGAGCCTGTTGTGTAATAAAACTGCTTTTGGGGGGCATTTTAGTTAGTATGGCCCTCCTTTCGGAATATAACGACATATGCAGAATCACAATAAGCATAACAAAAATACAGTTTGTTTTCTTATATGGCTAGTGACCGATCACAGCGTCAGAATACACCCCCTTAGATTCGATAAAAAGTGCGCTTTATTGCACTTCTACACTCGCTGGTGTTGGAATGCTGGTCTTACTGATCGCAACAGTTTTATTGAATGCAAGTTCCCGTAACTGACTTAGTGTTCATATGAAAAGCATTAAGCGAAACGTGCGAACAAATGGAATCGTTGTTAAAAGAAATAATCCGCGTGATTCTGCAAAGACTCGGATTAATCACAAGATCCTCACAAATACTTCTCGAAAATTTCTCCCCTTCTACTATTCATCCTACCTTCGCACGTTGATGCGGACTGTAAAAATATATGCGGATACTTCATTTTCATATTTCTATGTTACCATAGCGGGTTACGATCCCGTTTCCTCAGAGCAAAAAGATTTTTCAGATTTGTCGAAATACGGATAAGGTGCGGTGAGATAGGCATATGTAAATCGACTGTAATGCATGTCACGAAATTTTTGATACCTATTTTTGGCTGCGATAAACGAGATGACAAAATTAATATGCCCCTAACTAGTCATCGGTGCACGTAAAGTAAAAATATGTAGAACTTTCTGTTGTTTTTGTCCTTCTTAAATTTAATTAAACTGATAGCATAATCTGTTATCATTAGCAAATTGTGTGAAAAATCATTGTCGTTGCCAGAATACGAAAGAGCAATGCTTTTTAGATATATAATAAATAATTGATAAAATCTATTAAATGCTTTCAAGCTTACAACTCTTAAGGAAGTATGCATGTAGTGAGCACATGTGATGGATTTATGCTTTTAGTTCTTCAATATATTTTAGATAATGGAATTAATTAATTAATATAATGCAACTATTTCACTTACCTCCTTCATCAGTCATTACCAATATGGTAGTTTCTGGTCCCAAGCCTTCCGGATTAAAAACTTGAACTGTCACTTTATATTGTGTGTAGGGCTCCAAGTTAAGAATTTCGTGACTCTAAAAAAAAAGAAGAAAAATAAGAGAAGAAGTAAATAAATGAATAAATTAGGAGTACACGATAAAATAAAGCATAAATATTTTATTCATTTATTTTTTTTTATTAAATAAGTTAGTGTAAGTAATCTCTTTATGAAAGGGTGGTTTTTTTTTTTAAGGAATGCCGTGCATATCAATCTATTTGATCTATCAGGCCTATGGGCTTTGTATTATAAGTATGGGTTTAAGGGCCCGGACAATTATCGCAGGAGTTTGCGATTGGCCTACTGACACGAGTCGAAATTGATACAAAACTAAGAATTCTATACTAATAATCGAAACTTATTTACAATACAAGGGGCAGCAGTAAACTTAACACTTGAGTTTAGTTATTGGTTGTAACAAAGATTTTAGGGAGAAGATCTGATACCCTCTTGAATAATGGAGGCCAGTGCCGTGCTTTCACCGGCGATTTGCCAAAGCTGACTATCCGCGTTCAGTTGCTCTTTTTGAACTTAAGGCATCTTTTTTAAATGTTTTCTTTAGCCTGTATAATGAAGGACGAAAGCTAACAGGTCTCACCGAACTATCCAACTTATGTTGTGACTCTTAGTTATAACTGCATGTGCAGATTAGTTCTTATGTATAAATATTTTTCATAGATATATAAAAAAAAAGTGTGATTAAATGAGAGCGGGAGGTGAAATTGGGGGGAACGGCACATAATGCAGATATGTTTCGATGATGCTCGTATGACTTGAAAACGTGACTTTCACTATCCAATATGATATATTGAAAATTGCAAATCATAGACGTTTGACACAGATTAGCAACAGCAACGAGCAGCATCAGCAATAGGACCACAACAACTGTGTGCATTATAAATATAACATTTTCTGAGAAAAAAGAAATAATGAAAAATGTTCATAGAAGCGTTCAAACTGTGATCCAACGTTCGCAATGAATCAAAGTTATGATTTGAATGCATTATTATGTGTTATATGTAGATGTATGTATGTATAGATGAATTTATGTTATATGAGTCGCAGTGCCGCACACCGAATGAGAACTAAAGTAAAGTGTGATGCATACGCAAAAATTGTTAGAGAGATAATAAATAATAACATATGTTGTGAGTAAAATATTAAGCGTGTGCCTGTGTATGCGTTTAATGCAAATGTATATGCGAGTGATTCAGAAGTCTGGTTAGCGCCATACATAAGTATATAAATATATGTTTTTGCATTTTTAGAGTATTAAAATTTAAAATGCACATAAAGCGGCAACGAGGAGTATTTCCCAATACTGGCGAAGCAGGAACGCAAAATATGCTGAAAAAAGAAATCCCATAAATTCTGTCGATGAAAAGCAAAAACAGCGCCATTAAATTTCTTTTTAAAACAGCTTATGCATACTTTCTTTCTTTGCGTGTGTGTTCAACTATACATTCGAACATACGTGCATACATGTTTCTGTTTGCAAGTATTTATTTCAACATTACCAGCGATAATACTCACGTACATTGTTTCTTCAATTGGAGACGTGCGCATATAGCGCACATGTAAGCTTTATGCATGAATATATAGGTAAATGTATGTTTGTGACATGTACACCCACTTTTACACACAGACTCCCATGTACATATAAACGTGTACTCTATCCCTAGAGTACATTTTAATCTTATCGCAAATAGTTTTTTTTTTTTCTTTTTTTTTTAATTCGCTTAAACGCAGTGAGGGAAAAACGAAAATCGAAATAGAAAAATAAGGGATACGTAAACGTATTCGTTTTTTCTTTCTGTTTATGACCCGGTTTTATTGTTTCCTAAATAGTTTTGCATAAGACGCCTGAATGCTGAAATATTATACTGAAAGTTGTAAACGTGATTCTCGATATATATGTAAATGCATGTATAATATATATATATATATATGTATTTATATAGACTGCTTTCGCAGAGTTTCAAAATGAAGTCAAACTAAATCATTCCAAAACAAACACCACCAAATATGTAAAGAATGTGAATTTGTTGGTGCATATATATACATATATATATATATACATGTGAGTAAATTTAGAAAAAAAGAAAATTTATTCTTTTTCTTTTTTCAACACATCCTTGTTTTAGGCTATAATGTGCGCGTCTACACTGTCTTAACGCATTTTCCATTCATTCAAATACTATTTCTTTCATTCAACCTTCGCTCTGTTGGGATTCATTCAAGCCCTTATCCACATCGAACCCTTTTCCTCATCGCACTCTAAAGTTCTTCATACTTTCGCTTCCAAAATGCTTACAAATATACAAGAGTTGAAGATTTTCTTCTGAAAACGCGTGTGCAAATAAGTTGCACACGAAATATATTACATCAGTGCGATGAATTTTATCTATGCATGCAATAATATTTGTGCATATCCATAAATATTGACGTATTGGTATGTCGATCAAAAATTTGCATAAAATATCGAAAATAATAAACAAAACGTTGCTCGCGTTGTCACTGTGAACCAATGTGTGTCTCAACTATTTTCCAAACTTTAATAATTCTATGTAGCATTGACAAATGATATAACACAAAGCATCTAATACGATGAGTTATATTTTGTTATCACCCGAGGGAGGGTGATATTCATTTCATTCATTATATATATTTGCTAGGCCTAAGAGACACGATGAAAACATATTCCATTTTAACTTCCTTAGGCGAGTATCTCTGAACTGTTTCGTTTATGTCAAATTTTTAAATATGTTTTTATAACGGATAGAGCTCCTTAATGAAAAATTGTTCCTGGAGGAATGATTGTGTGTATGTCTCTATCTTTATCCTTCTTCGATCAGAATGTACCAAATTGCACATAAGCTATATATATATATATATATATACTACATACATGGGTAGTATAATGCGCTCTTTGAATCTAAAGTTTATTAAATACCAATATTTCGATAAGCTATTCTCTTGATTGCTACTTTCTTATAACGCCAGCTTTTTTTTGGGAGTGCGTATTTGGTCACAACGGAGTTAACTTTCATAGAAAATTTATATAAAATTCTGCAGAAGGTTTTTACAATTATTAAACTAAAGTACTTAAAAACACTTTCTTTTTTTGTAACGCATTCATCCATCTATCAGATCTGCCCATCAGTAGATTTGCAACAAGTATTCAAACCGTATATGTAACCTAAGTTTAAAAGTTAGATTACCGGTGCGGATGACATTAAACGAGTTGGAACTTAGTCCAAGTTTCATCCAAATTAATGTTTGACTGGGGTATTGCAACATTATGAATGAATCATTACTGGAACACACATTTTCCTTCGAAAAGTGAAGAAAATGTGTATAGGTTTTGTAGAATTTGGTGGGTTTTTTTTATCAAGATTTGCTTAATGCTTTTTGGGTATTGTGAACGGACAATTTGAGTCTTCAATTTGAAGGTTTCAATTTTTAAGATGGGACCGTAAATCCCGACTCTCTCTTTGATTGTTACGCACAGTTTTCAACTTCCTGCTGTACTGCGACGAACATTGTTCCAATGTTAATCTCTGTCGTCCTTTCCAGAGGATGAGATTATCTTGAGGCGCGCAAATGAGTTGTTCCTTAGACGGGCGTTTTCGTTAATCGGCCGCTGTGTGATGCGCCTTTTTTTTATCGATTTTACAGCATCGCAAACATTGAAAATCTTTATTTGTTCCCATTACTTGCTCCACATCTTGGGAAATTTCGTTTTCATCAGAGTGAGACAGTTTACACACATGTGTAGATATTTTATCATGCATATCACTTTCACTAAAATAGTCTAAATAAAATACTTTTACGTATAAAATTTTCGAACGCGAATGTGAAGGTCAAGTACAAGAAAACTGCGAAATAAGTTATTTTACCTATCTGTTTCCTCGATTATAACCTATAGTTTTTAATTCTAATCAATTTCTTTTGCAACGGCCTACAATCCTAAGCGCTATGTATGCAAATAGTATCCCGAAAATATGGGCTTGAAATCGATTGGAGCAACAGGACAACACAAGAAGGATGTGATGAAATTTCCATGAAGCGTTTCTTGCATTTGATCATCAAAGAGTGGGCGGATTCCTACATACGTAAAACACCAGCGATGAAAAGTCCTGGTGGGCAGACTTCGAATGGGTTCCGAAACGTAAAGCCGTAAATGAGTTATCTAACGGACGAAAGTATATAGGTGTGAGATTTCAAATTTTTTCAATTTCTACTGGATCGAAAAAATGTACATATTTTGAACCGACGACGTAGAAATAAATTCATAAAAACGACAAAGAAATGTAAACCAACTTTATAGTGTCGCTGAAAGAGCATACAGATCCTTCGAACTTGTTAATTGTACATGTGGTGCCACCTGAACTGACCCTACTGAAAAGCTAAACTAAGTAAAAGAAGGCAAATCACCGATGAGACTGTGAAAATAATTTAATATTTAAAGTAAGTAAACGCAAACACATATCTATACAGAAGCAGAAGAAGAAAAAAGGTAAAACCATTTACGAGGTCACAATAAAACCCTTTGAAGCCATCCAAAGTACTTACAAAGACAAAATCATAGTTACTTAAGCGTAAAAATTTGACAAATTTCAAGGATCAATTTACATTATAATACAGAAATTTAAGAATATAGAGACGTTAACATAAGCAATCTGCTGTTTTAAGGGAAATATTTATTGCGCGTACGCATAAACATGACAACGCACCCTTTGAAAGAATTTAGTAATAACAGTTATACTATCAATTTAGGTTTTCTCCCCTATCAGACCGTTTACATATATCGTAAGGTTATTTTTCCTTCTTTCTTCTATAAATAAGCTTAGATAAGCTTAAGTGTATGCATTTACATACTAACGAAAAATTAAAAAGTTCTTCCTCAATATATACAAAACACATTCTTGCTTAGTTTCATATACCCCGAAATGTAAATAAACCACGAACTGGAAGGAGTGCAAGAGTGGGAAAGAAAGTTAGTCTAAGTTATCCTACATTCATAAACTAAACTGTGTTGCCAACATATTATCAGCGTATGTATATTTGTGTGCATGAAATGAAAATTCCGAAAAAACATTAGAACGAGTATGCGAAAAAAATCAGGCTTCATATTAAATCTTCAATTTGGAACTTTTAGCAAATGGTTACACATTGCAAACAAAAAGAGACAAAAAACCGCACATAGTCACAGAAGTAGTTTATGTGCAAGACTAACATACAAAACTTTAAGCGGGAATTTAGGTTTAACATGTATACATATATACATTTACATATTATCGCCCACCCATAACGTGCTTGGTATGATGTACGGGTATCGTTGCTAGTGTATATGATATGTGGCGCCACAAGCAAGAAAACCAAAAAAAAAAATCTTTGTTTTCATATATTTTTTCTGATGTTCGCGCATTTAGCTGATATTATAGTGGTTTATGAAGGAGTATTCTCTTGTTTTTGTACACTCTATGCATGTATGCGTGTACGTATTATATGTGAATACGTTTTATTTTTTTTATTTTTTGCTTTTGCTTTCTGTTTTTATTTTCTTCTTTTGATATCAAAATACACAATTCATTCTATATGGTGCGCACATAGCAAAGATCTCAACAGTAACCTGTCGACCACAATGCATAAAGGATGCCTTAATGCCACCGTAAATCTCTAAAGTTATGAAAATTGCATGATAATCCTCAAACATTGGCAAACAGCCAGGCTTACAAGATATCGTTTATGTTATTTTTTCTTTTCTTTTGTATTAGTTTTTTTTTTAATAGATATGCGTACGTGTGTGTGTGTTTGTGTATGTACGTATGTTTGCGTGTGTGTGTTCATAGTATTCCCGCCTTTAGATTGCTCTTTCAACTGCTTGATAGTAAATAAAGTTCATCGATGTGTCTTCGTTCCTATACGTTTGTGCATATGTGTGGGTGCGAATATTGCTTTTGTTGCGTCTCTTGCTTATTGGAGTAAAAACTCGCCTCTGGTGGCAGCAGCAGTAAAAATGTCACCATTTTCTACTAGATTTTCTATTTCTACTTTATAGCTTTGCCTGAGCGTAATGAGAATGTGTTCTGTTCGGTTTAGGCAGAATTTAAGCAACACTTTCTTTCCGACTTCTTTAAAGCATAACTCTCTTTCACTTGGGATGATAAGGAATAATACATTTAATGAGCTATTGTCATTAGAAGGGGAGTAACAGATAATTCAGATAAAATTGTTATCTTCTTATTTACGTTAGTTTTTGAATTTTACCTAAAATTATGTGCTTGAATAGATCCGCATAGCTTAGGACAATGGCAACTCGGATTTGAGTCTTAAATGATTGCTAGTTTTTAGCGAAGGTTGCGACAATTGTGTGACTTCAGGATTTGCACTAAGATGAGTAAAAACAAGGATTGTTTAGATGGACGCGAGGGCGAAGGCTACTATTAATACCACTGCTTGTGTTGATCGAAAATATAAGTGTATTGGACTGAGTGGTTATTTTGCAAACGTTCGATAAACGTAACATACCCGTTATAATGGGCGCGACAATTGATTGTGAGAGAGAAAAGCAAAAAATTATTGCTAAATGAAGTTTTTAACTTATGCACGAGATGGGCCGTATTTAAGTGACGGGTCTGGTGCACTGTGTTTCCAAATGCGAGAAGCAAGCCCATTAACTTTTTGATGTAGTGCACGCATCTGGAAGGCAGGCAAACTGTTTAGACCCAATTTACGTAAAATAATGTATAAAATAATATTAAAAACTCGTTTTTTTATGCTGAAGCCAAGTCTGACGGTAATCTGTTGGAGAGCTTTAATTACTGACTTACAAATAGTTTGCTATTTTGGTCTTATTCTGCATAGTAGAATAGGTAGCACGACGAGTTACTAATTCACTAACTTGTCGTTTTGTAAATTGTTGTTAATTCTTCTGTTCTATTTGTTTCCACATTGCTTGCATCCACATGTAGCTTTCTTGGCTTGTTTGTCACATTATTACTATTCCTACATCTTTTTACAGTTTTCTTTCTATGTTTATTTTTTATTTTTCCATAAATTAAGTTTTATATTGCTCTCCATGATTTTGCTTAAAAAATTCCCGCACATACCTGGGTTTGTAAGCTCATTACCCGTCTTTTTGTAAATTATGTTTACTCGCGTTACCTGCATAAACGCACATGCATGCATATGCAAGTACAAGTGTGCGCTATGAATGCATGTATTTCTCAATAATCAACCAACCAGCACTTGTATTATATAAACATATTTGTTGTTGTTGTTTCTGTTATTGAGGTTGCTGGCTATGTATGTGTGCCATAACGCTCCTTTAAACAACTCGTAGTGGTTTTTTATAAGCGGTATATGGATTATGTGTTTATATCAGTGCGTGTGTGAAATGTATGCTGCGGCTTTAATAACAAAAATTTTCAACTTTTACTTCATGCATAAATCCTGTGAATTAAACTTTTTGCACTTAACGTATTTGTTGTGTTTCGACAGCATTAACAACCACAGCACCACATAAATTATAGGAACACCTTCAGATTAAATTAATCAACTCAAAAACTTACATATAATGATGATGCTATAAACACATACATGTTCTACGCATGTGTTCGTATTTTCATAAAATCGAAAATTATAATTGGGATTATTAAGAAAAGTAACCATTACTCAGCTTTAAAGCAAATATAAAACCGATATGGAAAGGTCGTAACATTTGAACCATGGAAGTATTCATTATAAAATGTTCCACTTCAAGTGAACGTGTGCGATTAATATCTTCCAACTCTTTTTATGCGGCTCGTTAAAAACAACAACAAAAAAAAAAACAATCCTCAATTAATATCTGCGCTTTCCCACTTCAGTTATATAAAGCTCCATTTATAGGGTAACGATTTTAATTAATAGTAAATGAAAAATATTCCTTGTTTTATGCCAGAATTAAAAAATCTTATCGAAGAAGCCAAACTTAATTCCCGCAAACCTTTCATTAGACTGCATCTACCTTCCATGCGTTTACTAATTCCATTCTTCTGTACTCAAGGTTGTGCGTCATATCGTACGAATGAATTATGCGTACCAAGAAAAATGATAGATACTAGGGGCTTTCGCTTCCAAGAGAAGCAACGAGGGAGACTACAAGCGGGTTAGTTTAACTTCGGCTTTATAGAATTTCCCCTGATGTATACCAAATTAAAAACTTTGACTTCCTTGAGTAGCAGAAATCATTGCATTTATGAAATGCAACAACAAGGATCTTATGATTGGAAATATCATGCTCTGAGTGTTACTTACTTCAACGGTGCTGTCGCGTATGTAAATTTCTTTGGTATCATTTGGATTGCGATCTCGCGGTCTATACGTTATACGATAGCCGAGAAATTCTCCAAGTATTGTATCGGGCGGCGGTGGTTTCCAAGCAATATATACAGAGGTGGATGAGGTATTGTGGGCTGACGTAGGTACTGGTTTACCTGTCGGCGCTGCAATAAAGAAAAAAACATAATTTATATAGAGTTTTGTTCTTTTTCGAAAAAATGTTATTCAATAAATTAAACTTTAGTCTATTAACGACAGAAAGTGAGAGCGAGAAATAGAGTATGGAATTTAATTTTATGTATTTTGTTTCGTGCTCTCAATTTTATTACAAAATAAATGAGTTTTTTCCATCTCGCATTCTCGAGTAACGCAGAATATTAAATTTTATTCAAATATTCTGCTTTATTACAAACAGGACTTTCAATAAGTTGCTGCTTTAAGGAGAGTAAAACAGAATAAGATGATTGTATATGTGTGCATAGTGAAGCATGCAATAACATCTCTTGTTGGCAGTCTATTATTACATAAGGTGGCGAATCTGACATCAAACATATTTAGTGTTGCACCGATGTTGCTGCTACCAGACAGAGTGCACACTGCAGTGTATAGGCAAATGGAGTAACATATAACATAGCATATATGTTTACTCTAACGTGTATGTTTACGTCAGTGGAACAATAACATCCATTTGTAACGTAATGGTAACTGGTTGAATTGCTCATTGAATTTTTCCTTTAATGGATGCAGCAGCCCTTTGTGTTTGCGTACATGTGTTAATACGTGGTTAGCTTACTTTAAAGACAATAAGTGTTGGAACAACAGGTGCTGACATCATCAGAGAGCGACATACAAATGAAAAACCTCTGGGAGTGTACCGTGCGTACATTTAAAGGGCGATTGGCAACAAAGTACGAAATTCTCGCATTGAGGGGCACTTTAACGAGGCTCAGCGGTGGTACCCCAGGCTTTTTATTCGTTCGCGCTATAAAACAAACATATTCCCGTACTTGCACACAAATTACTCTCTCTTACGAAAACATAATAAAACACATTAGATAAATTTAAAAAAAAAAAAGAAAAAAAAAAGAGGGAAATAAAAATAGAAATTTTCATTATCTACGCTGCGCATTGTTCAGGGAATTTTCTATTTTTCTCTTGAACCTGAATTCATTCTGCGCGTCTGTGTAACTGATTAGGTACTCTTTGTACGGCATGCATTCGGGCTTTATGTTTACTTTCTCAAGTAAACATTGCGTTTTATATGCTCATGTATTTCGCCGGACCCAGGTATACCCAAACATACGCAAAATACATGTATCTATCTCTAAATATTTTTAATAGCGCTCTCAATGAGTGCGAATAAGTTAGTAAGACTTTAACCCGAATATGAAATTGGTTTGAGTACGATGAGGTACCTTATGCCGGTAAAGAAATTATAAAAAATACTTCACACGTTGTTGTTTACTTATTTACATTTACTACACGCATGTTGCTTACTGTTGCTACTATTAGGTAAACTATTTATTTGTAACTTGCTCTTAAGTAACTTTCTTAGCGTCTGTTTCGTCTATTCTAATATTAGCACTAAACTCTGTAGACGACAAATCAAACTATAAAACGAAACGGTGTTCCATTCCTCCTGATGTTGTTCGTAAGTTTTTAATGCAGATAGATTGATTTTGACCAAAGTCGCTGCTGTTTTTAACTTTGCATAGGTAAATGGATAGTGTACATGAACATTTATGAAAGACAATACTGGTATAAAAACTACACCGACGAACGCAAGAAAGGCATGTACACTGCTATTGATTAAATACCCGACGCTACCTATTGCATATGCCCAGAGTAGACTCCAGAAGCGGAAAAAGCATTTCTTAATTTGCATAAAAAAAGCAAATAAATGAAATTGAAGTTTTTTTATTTAGACAACGTTGCAATTGTTGGCAGGGAAGTTACTTGGCCTTACTTACTGGCTTACTGTGGAGACTTCCGAACTTTAATCATGCAATTTCATTGAATATTCTACGTCGGTGTGACGATTAAGTCGGGACGAAAATTCCACTATCTTTGTGTGATATGATATTCTTTTTATATGATTGTAGTCATGGGTATGAATAACACACGTATGTAAATGCGTACTCGTGCATTTTTCTTTGATAATAAAAATGAATTCGCAAAGCTTCAACACTTCAACAATGTAGGGTGAAAATCGTAAAAAAATAAAAATTTAGGTCAAAGACTATGTAAAAAAAATAGTAACAACTGATACATGCATACAAGTGTAGCAATATCTAAAAATAGTTTTTCTCTGCGCGCTCGGTACCGACAAAAAGGATAGGTAGTTACTACGCTTTCATGTATTGTAAAAATTTTGGGTGACTGAGAATAAAGATACCTGTTAGTTTATACATCATTGGCTCTACTTTAGCAATAGTAGTGATAGTAGTAGCTGTAGCGCTAGTAGTAGTAGTAGTTGTAGCAAAGAACATTGTGTAATTAAAACTCATTTGATGAGCCTTTAATACTTTTTTTGATGGTAATGTAACTATTGTGACCTCTAATGCTGTCAGTCGTGCATGTGTATACATATATGTGCGAATATGCTCATGTGCTATTGCTATTTTGTACCTGCTGTTGTGGTTGCCTTACGAGTTCTAAAAGTTTATAGGAGTTTCATTTTGCACAACAACTTTTTTGTTCTTTCCTAGATATATTTATGTAAATATACAGGTATGGAGGATATATGCTCCTTTCTTCTCTTCGAGTATTATTTCTGTTGTGTTGACATTTCACTAAAAGGTATTTTTAATGTTATTAAAAACTTTTCCATTTGTCATGCATGTGTTCATCTTGTAGGCGTTTGAGTGATGTTAAGTGTTTTTCATCATACTGTATTACCCAATACATGTGCGTACTTAATCGTGTACACGGGCACAATAAGAAAAAAGGAGAGCGAGGAGAATGCTATTTACGCAAATTAATTTCATTACAGTTTTTTTATCTCCCTCTGCCTTGCTTGCATGCATGTGTGTTTGTGCTTGCCTTATTGCTTGCTAGTATTCAGGTATTGTGGGCATATTCATTTGATAAAGCTGTTTGCACCTTCCAAGAACATCGGTCGCAAGCACTCCTGCCTTTCTCCTTCTTAAGCGAGCGAGAAAAGACGCGGATATGGAACTACCCAGAGGTATTAATAAAGGACTTTGAGTACTGTTTAAATTTATTTCACGTAGTGGGTATTAATGAACGATTGCGATAGGTAGCCCACTAAATATTGTCACGCGTTTAGAAAAATCGTTTTAATTCGACAGACACTCACAGAAGTCATACTCCATTTGAATTTTCCATATAAGGATTCCTAAAGCAAGTGTTAAGAATTACATACATTTCAACATCGGTTCTCTTACATTGATTCTTTCAAAATTTTTCCGATTGATTCTTTCAAAATACTCCGATAATATTGTGCCCGAGCAGCATTTATGAGATATGTGAATTCTTCCTCATCAATAATCATAAGATCAATCAAACAGTCTGCCTTATGGCCCTCTTTCTGCATGCAGTTGGCATCTAGCCTTTCTAGCCAGGTAACCTGCCCAATTCATATTACTGACCGTGGCTTTCATTGAAGTTTTTATTTCGATTTTATAAACGCCCATAACCAACATAATTTAACAACAGTTTCAAATATTCATATATATATATAGAATTGAAATTTAAATTCTCCACATAAGAATTATTAAAGTAGGTGCTAGTAATTGCACATATTTCTCAAGAAGATATTGCGTAACGTTTCAAGGCTAATAGTGAATTTGATTTCAAATTCTATTGAAATATGTCTCTAGGCCCGCCGACTATTGAGCGATTTCTAGAAATAGGAATTTTACTACTCTAACCGCCACCTAATAATATTTCCAGTGCTTTCTCACGTCTGTCATATGACATGGAGCGTACAGCAAATTATTGGTAGATTAGTGTTAAATTACATACTACGAGCGGCTGGTGATGCCATGTACGTTATGTCGCTTTTACAGAATGAGGTAACTGCGCAAGCGCAATAGTTTATATGTATATTTCGGAGTTTTTTATCCAGCAATAATTTATTCAGACTGTATCTAAAATATGGAAAACGTGGAGCGGGGATTTGGAATGCATACATGCGGAACAAAGCATATCGAATTTTTTTGTTTACTTACCTTCACGTAAGGTCACTATGTAGTAGGATTCTTTTGAAGGTGGACTGATGCCGAGTTTATTGACTGCTTTTAAACGAAAACTATAAACGGTGAAAGGTATGAGTTCAGTAACTTGATATGACGTTACATTCGATTTAGTTTGTATCGGTGAGACCTGATCCCATTGACCGTTTTCACCCACTCTGCAAAGATAGAATGAAAGAGAAAAAACTGTATATAGCTATTTGCAAGCAACTATGTAACTTAACTCAAAGTTGTAAGAGGTATGCCAGAAAGAGTGAAGACTATTTTAGTGGTACCTCCTTGTGTGCCTATAAATGCCTTTGCATTGTTTGTGCTTGTGTTTTATTTAATTCAATTTTCTTTTTATATTTAATTCAATTGCTAAGTAAATTATTATTTTTGCTTTGCCCTTTGAAAAATTGCAGATGTTTGTGTAAACTTTGATCATTACCCCAACAACCGTAATATCCGTAAAAAAGCAACAATCAATGCCACACAATTTGCTTTTGATAAATATTTGTAGAGGCCTTCAGGCATGTCAACCATAAGCTTCTAAATAAATACATTTCTCTCTGCCTTTTTTTACAACATGAAAACAGACCTCTTAAGGCTGTGTGCGAGTCTCTTACTGAGTCACGCTTGATTTCCTCTACATATCGAAAATAAACAAAATAAATCATTCTATATATATGCGAATGTGGACATTTTTTATTTGTTTTTTTTTTTTTTTATTTTTATTATTTTTTTTTTTTGGCTAGTCCGCATCGGTTTCTGTATACAAAAGTAATATAACAGTTTTCAACTTGCAAATATTTTCAACCATAAATAAAAGCTCTACCATAGTTTTTCGTTTTTTCAATAGATAACGTGTGTGCACATGTGGGTGTATTGTCGAAAATGCTCTCTTATAAACCATAAAACCATTAAATCTTTCTTCTTTTTTTCTGAAAAATTGTCAACAAAATTTCTTTGCTAACACTTTCGTATTTTGGATACGTACGTGTTTATGCACATATAGATTTCTGTCTGAAACGTTTCTTTCAAGTTATGTTTACTTTTCGCATATGTATACAAATATTTCCTATTTTTAAATAAATCTCCTTGAAGCACGTAAAATTGTTTAGAAATTATTGAACATATCCATCTTATGAGAGGGCGTTACGATATTCCTTATTTATTTATATCAATCCGAATAAATTTATAAAAATTATTATATATATCTCGTCCATTTCTAAAGCATTTTAAACTTTAATCAATTTATATTTAAAAAAAAATTAATTAAAAATAATTAAAATAAAAAAAAAAATTAGTGCCAGGATATGATTTCCGGATTCTCTCTTTGAGATCACTGTTCATGGAATTTCGGCTTCAAAGCATACAACTCTCGCCAGCTACTTTGTTGGTTTAGTCGTGCTGTGTGCTTGTTCATTTAACTTGTTGCGACCGTATTTAAACTTAATGTAACCAAATGCGAATTTTCATAAAACATTTGAACAATTTACAGTTTTTGAAACATCAAAAGAAACTGCAACAAATGTCACAATGTAACGTGAATGGCAGTGAAAACAATAAAAAAAAACTCTTCTTAAAATCTTTTTCCTGCAGAGAATGTAAGGGCATGTAAGGGTGAAAGATGTTGTAGATATTATTTTTCGTCACTGTTTAGAGGGAGAGAGAGAGAGAGAGAGAGAGAGAGAGAGAGAGAGAGACAGAGACAGAGAGAGAAAGGAATGATATGCACTAGTAGTTTACGCACAGAAACTTTTTGAAGTGAGCAACAAGCGTATCGTAATTTAATTAAACGAAAATATCCCGAAATGTTAATAAATTAATTCATATATTTTTATATTTTTTAATTATTATGCTCTCTTATACTAGTCGCCATGTAAGCCAATGATTTATATATGCATGTGTACGTCGTAGGTAAAAAATTTAATCCGCTTCCAGTTTATTTTCTTTTCCTCATACACGCCATCACCACATACGGACACATGCACACACATTAAATACACATAATGTAATTTGATTTAACCACAATTCAATGGTCTGTAGTTTATTTATTTTATTTATTACTTTTTTACGAAAAATATACGAAAACATATGAAATAAAGTAGAAAAACTTTTAACCATTTCCACACGCACATCCACAATCCTTTGGCCATCAACTTATTGAATATTGTGTTCATAACGTGCCTTTCATCGATATTATCTACTCAAATGATTGTTAAATGTTCCTGCGTCGATGCTTGCTACACTTGGTAGGATAGAGTTGGCAGGTCAGTCAGTGATCGGGGGTCAATGTTTGAGTAGCGTGATGCAGTATTTCGTTAGCGTTCTCTACATACATGCCTGCATGCATTCACAATTTAATCGCATTCACTTAAATGCGAAGGAATGAAAAAAACTGCAACTATAAAACAGATTTTTAATGCTGGAATGCTGCAGTACTTACTATCAAATGAAATTGTATGGCGAGTAAAACTTGTGCATGTACAAAAGATCGCACATGAATGGAAACCATTCTTTATTCATTTTATTTCTTAATGGTAAGTTTTTAATGTGTGGCCTGAGTGCGCGTGTATGGATGAAGGCAAAGAAAAATAGAAAGAATGTGCGGTTATTTTTTCTAAAGCCCTTATAAAAAATTTAACCCGACCGTATTCTTATAGAAATGGTTTGACTGTATATTGGTCACTAAGATGCGAAAGCAAAATGGTAGCTAGAACGAGACTAGCAATAAGACTAACCAACTTGTTTTTTACCGACTCGTGGATGTTTGCTGCACAATTCTGTACCGAAAATTCGATAAATTCCGTTGTTGTTGCAAACACAAGATGCATCGTATATTAACCGAAACACGATATTTTTCTCATAGATATTTCAAGAAAGTTCACTAGCTGCCTTTGTATATTTTCACGCTAAAAGTAAACAAGTATCTTTTCGAAGACGGATATGTTGAATTAGTACATAGACAATATAAATAACGGGACATCAAATTTGTCAAATCTGCTAATGTATAAAAATATGCAAAGAAGATTTTCTTAGATATGTTTATAAACATTTTTGTTAAGGCAAATTCCAAATTACGTCTTAATGAGCTAATGCTTTAAATGCGTTTAAATTGATCGGCGGATTGATTCGTAATTATCAAAAATTTTAGATTCGCACAGTGTAATGTAATAAACACTCTCTTTGGTTGTTTTGATAAGAATTGGGAACAGAGTTTTCAAAGTTTAAAACCGTGATGTACTAGGAACACGTTAGACTTTATCCTTATCTAATTGTCACATTTGTAGCATTGAAAAGGTGCATTGGAGTAGCATTTAAAGTTGATTTCGAAATGACTGCCGCCAAGACTCATTCGTTTCATTAAGTTACTTAAACTCTGAAAGCTTGTTCAAGTATTGTTTTTTGTTGTTATTGTGATGTTTATTAAAGGTGATATTTAAAATTCGATTTAAGCTAGCTAAAGCTACTTCGAGCTTTAGTCTCTTCGTCTATAACAAGAGTTGGTGCAATTTAAATTTATTTAAAAGTAAATTGATTATCGAAGAAAAGGCCTTTTATCCATAGATACGTATATCAGTTAACGTATACAAAATAACAGCCACCAACAGGAAGAGAAGGATGGACAGAATTGTATCCTTTCAATAAGTTCTTGTCCTTTCGATTTTCTATCTTTTCTCATTCTATGCCTTGGAAAACAACGCGTAAGATGGCACTGCTTGTTTAGATATGTAAATATGTTCGTTTGCATAGGTTTCTTAGTTTGTTTGTATCCGTATATACCATATGTGCGAAGAACAAGTTTTCAATTTTATTTTCTCTATGGGTTTTTCCTTCTTGTGTCAGACCACAACATTTTCTACCAGTTTACCCGATAGAATAGCCGGCAGTCACTATCGACTCTAGCATGCATGCGTGGTACTTATTTCAAGTCATGTACAACTGTGACTGCATAACAGCAATATCTTTACTCCACACAAATAGATACGAATGGAAGTACAGAGTAGTGGCGTACACATAAATGCACTTTTCCTTCTTCATTTTGTGCTAACAATTCTTGGTAGTCGTTGTCTTTGTTGCTATTTAAATAAGTGGGTTTGTCAAGTTTATGCGAAAGTTGTTTCTTTCTTTCTTTCTTTAGTTGCCGCCACAAACAAAGTCAATGTATGGTCGGATGCATGAATGCATGCACGAAACGTGTTAGAAGAATAGACAGCAAACTGCTATATAAACGGAATCTTTCTTTATATTTACTTTTATTATAATTTTTCACCACATTGTTTACTTTTTCGGTATTTATCGTAATAAAGAAAATAACTTTGAAACGAAAGTAGTCCGCAATGAATATGTTAAGCAAGAAAAGGAGAATAAGGAGGAAAAAGGAACGATGTCAGAAGCTTCGATCATATGTAACATGAATAATAAATGCAAAGCTCTTTTCTAATTCAATTTTCATAAATATTCTTTACTTTAACATGTAAAATGTAAAAGCAAGTATGTATAGATAGATACACGGCCCAAGCCCTTCGGTGAAGTAGTTAATAGTTTTTCAATATTTACAAATTTTTTTTTGTTTGCGTTTTGCGAGACCAACATCGCAATTTTATTTATTCCCTTTATGTGCAGTAGAGACTTTATTTTATAACCGAATCAGTTACACATATGCTCGTTCATGTGGGCATGTGTATCTTGCTGACTGCTTTTTCTTTTTAAATCACAAATATTTTTATTTGATTTGTTATTAAATTGTTTTCCATTTGAATTGACTTCATATTCAATCTTTCTTAGAATCTCTTCTTAGTCTCATCTCTCTTTTACTGCTGCCGTTCTTATATATATCTAAGGAACACGCATTGGCATATTTGCACATTTGTTAGCAATAAGATGTCAATATAAGGAAAAAGGTTATGTCATTGTGTTATTATTCCTATTCATACCAAATGACGACATATGATATGATATTGCTTTGTTCCGTTTGTTTTTCTTTCGAAAACGTCGGAAAACAAATATTTGATTTGAGTCAACTGTGTCACTTACCACAACAAGCCATATAAATATGAATTTGTGATTTATTTGACAAGATCTGGTGTCGAAAAGGAACAAGAATTTGCTCTCCATACTCGATCACATTGTCAACTTAATCACAATATCAAGGAACAAATATTTTTGCATCCAATACGAAGAATAACAACGAGAAGAAGAAAAGAAAAATTTGGTAAAATACTTCGAGCTGTGTGTTACAAGAGCGTTTCCTTTTAATGAGTATTCTAAATTGATTACATGTTTAATTGCGGCAAAGTGATAGCCTACACCGATGCGATGGAGAATAGATTAAGTGCTAATGTGCTCATGTATGTTAGTCTCAAAAAAAATTGAGATGAATCCACCTTTTATAGCGTCGAACGATTACGAACCGTTTTCTCTTGTCTTTTCGCCCGTCCGATTTCTATCTATTTGTTCTTGGCTTCTGTCCATAGACCGACATTTCTAACATATTTTGCGTAAATTTGGTAGAATTTGGCAAAATTTTGATCTAAAGAGATATCCTATTTAAGATAGGCTGGATTGAACCATTCGTATAACCTTGAAACAGGTTTGAAATCTTCGAAATAATTATGTGAAAAATTTAGATCGGATTGGCCAATTCTCTGCGTCTGATTTTTAGCATTTTGCGATGGAAACTAATCATATTAATAATTTGACATAGAGAATTAATTGCAGCAAAATTTGAACCTGACCAATTCAACATTGCTTTAATTTAGGGCCACATTTCACACAGGGCAGTATGCCGTTTTATGGAAATATATGGTAGGCCTTTTTAAGGTTTTAACGCGAAAACAGATGAAAACATTTATTGGACGCGGTGAGGTAGGGCATTTGATGGTTGCCTTCGCTAGATTACAATACTTTTATTTGTTTTTTGAATAAATGATTTGAGAATCCAAGCTCTTATTAAAAATTTTATAGATTTTATATCTATTTTTCCTTTTAAGGTTATAAAATGGTGATTCAAGCCATACCGTATAAAATGAGAAATAAGGAAAATTTTTAGTTTGAATGGATTCTTGTAAACTGAACGTTTTATATAGCAAAGATTTTAATAATCTGATAACGACTTTTTGAAGACTTTTATTGATATCTAATCAATATTTACATATTTGGTCTTGTTCCGATCAAGCATTTGGTCTTAACTACTCTTTTATTCGGCCCATAGTGGAATCCCAGATGTTCGCAAAGTGATTTAAAGGGAAAAAAGGGGGAACTAAGTGATAATTGAACGGCAGGCTCCTGTTTTACAAACATCGTTCTTTTTAAAGGTAAAAGTTTCGCTATGATTTTATTAAAAAATTGATTACGTTACGTAGGAGTCCTTTAATGCATAAAAGTTTTAAATCACTTTCGAAACTTTTTAAATCTATACATTAACAACTGCCTTTGTTTTCTACGTGGTGACATGAACAGAGCTCATCAATATTCTTGGGAAAGGAATTTATTATCAAAAAATCTAATAATGTGTCTGCACTGTGTCCCTTATTTTTAATTTCCTCATACATAAATACCCTTTATATACTTTATATATGTGTTGGTTTTCTCTGCTTCTCTTTCCGCCATTATGGTGGAACTTGAAAAACTTGATATAGAATGTAACTATACTCTTGCAACATTTAAAGTCATTACTCTTTCCATAAACACCATATTAATGGGGTTTGTATTTATGACCAAGCTTGGATATATATATATATAAATTATTATATCCTTGCATGTGTTTGGGTGTATATGTGAATTGTGACGCTTGCTTGAAGTGATTCCATGCAACGTTGTGTGCTTTCATGAGACCAAAGCTCACTAGGACTAAAATAAACTCTATTTAGCACTCAATACGATTAAAATCATAGAAGGACTGACGTTTATATTGCCATTGCTTACCATTACAGAATGCAGTCAACGCACAAATTAACACTGTTCTGTAGCATGTTCTAACTATGTGTATGTTTGCTTGTGATGATAGAGATGGAGATGGCGGTGCCACAAGTTGCTAGACATATGCCTGTAGTGGATTTGCAAACTGTATTACTTTGCATAAATAAAACAAATCTCCAAGCGAAATAAGTGAATATTAACATGGAGAGCCAATGGTAGGAACACTATGCTATTCAAGCAAAGGCTACGAGGCCTATAACAACAAAGAAACGCATTCTCCTGTCTGCCCTCCCTCGATACAGTGCTTCTGTGACAATTGCATTTGTTATTACTGTTATTGCATACAAAATGCTTCAAAGGCGCAGGCATTCTCTCAATGGCATACTGATATTATATTTGTGTGCTTTCACTTACCTGGTTTCAATAATGAAATGCGTTACGGGAGCATTGCGCGGATGCTGTGAATGGGCCCACGATAAGTTCACCGAACGTGAAGTAAAACTTATCAGTAGCGGTCGTTCTGGTGGATCCGGCACATCTGCGTTAAGTCAAATTGGAAAGAGTCAGAAGCCAGAAATAAACACCAAAGTACAAAGGAAAAAAAGAAAGGAGAGAAGAGAGAGAAAATGGAAAATGAAGTAAACGAAAAACTTTATAAATAAAATGAGTTTTTGCACACCGCTCTAGTTTATTGCTTTAATGTAAACCAAATAGACAAACATAACATTGTAGAACACATTCATGTCTTCCGTATGTCTTGCTTGCTTGCTTGCTTGCTTGCCTGCCTGCCTGACTGCCTGCTTTTAGCTTTTTTTAAAATAAAAATCGCTATAAACTTCATAGTCGAACATATCGGGCATGGCATAGAGCGGCACATCGTGCAACAGTTATTTCCCGTTATTTACTTAGTTACTTACTCACCTTGTACTAGTAAATCAACAACTGCTTCTGGTATATGCCGGTCATTAACTAAGCATATATACTCTGCTGTGTCAGCGGCAATGGCTGGTGCAAAATGTAATGAAAAGTTCTCTGATAGCAATTGTATCTGTAAGTTAAGTAAAAGGAAAAAGAAATATAGTTAAGAGGAGAGCTGAAGAGACGTATAGTATACACCATATTTAGTATAATCAAATAAATATACTTTGCCGCAAACACAAGCAAATAATAACCCTTGAAACTCACATCCCCCGCACACGATTCGAAGTAAACATTACTTCAATTATATTAAAAGATAAGAAGTAAAATTGCTTTGATTTCAGAGAGAAACTACTACCACTACTACTACTGCTACTACTCAAGGCCTCAAAAGAATTAATACGTAAACGTAATTAACTTGGGATTCCATTATGTAAAAAGCAGAATTAAAGCGTTCAACGCGTAACTCAACATCAAAGCGTTTTGCATAATTCGCGCCACTTATTGAAAAGCTACTTTTTATAGCAATTGTTTGGAAAATTTGTGCGTAGAAGTTGAATTCTTCTCTGAGTAGTAAATAGAAATGATATCGTTTAGCTGCAGATACTTTAAGAAGTTGGTTAAAACTTTCACCAACAAACTTAATGCACACTAAATAATAATTTGCTGCCTTACTTGCTAATACAGATTATGTTCGCAAAATGCGGATAATCGTTTGCAGGCTAGTTTCGTCTATTGAACATAATTAACTTTTGGATGTTTACTCATTTGTATATTCCTACAAAAGGTTAAGCAAAACAATGACAGTTTTCTTTACGGATCGATGTGTTTACACCTGTTTTCGTCTACGGCATCCAGTAGTAGCCATAGTCAGAGACCCCGTAAACTATACGCCGCTGTTCTAAGCAATATATTGGTTTGGTATGTCCGTTTGCCCATCTCTTGTCAAGATTTAAAATTTATGCGGACTGAATTGACTCTAAAACCCGTTTAAGAAACACTGAAAGAATTAAAGTGTATGTCGTCTCAATGTAGTCCATCGACTTGAAAAAAGCATAGTTGGTATTCGATAATCGACTAAAGGCCAACAACTTTTTTGCTTCTTTTTGCCTAATCTGGACGAAATATGATGGTGAGAACACAGGCCTTAGACTAAGAAGATGTGTTAAAGGAAAGTAATTAGCGTAGTCTTACTATGCTGTTACTGAAAATTGCCTCAAATAAAGAAAACTGAAGCATCGGGATGTTTCGGCTTAAGCCGGAGCATAGCTTAGGAGTAATACGATGTTGTTAACTTTAGTGAACGGTTGCTAAATGAAAGTAATGTTCCCCTTGAGATAGCAAAATACGCAACTCTTATGATCTTTCTCCTTCAAATATTATTTGTTGTTATTTATATCATTCAAAGAAAATTTAAATTACTTGGCATTATCGATTAATAAGTTCACACAAGAAAGAGTTTTACGTTTTTCATATCTTTCTTTTTTTTTGCACATCGACGCGAAATATTACAGATAGTTATTAACATCCCCTAACCAAGTCTCTAACGATTGGTTAGCCAAAGGAAAAACCATAACCGAAGGCAAGGAGATTTAAACTTTACACGCTCTGTCAGTTTTTTTGGCAGCTCTTAAGAAGACGCTAATAATTCATATATTCATGTATAAGTAAGTGCAGTGGGTGGCATGGTTAGAAGAGGAACGAATTGAAAATTTTCTCTTAAGTGTTTTAACTCTTTTCATTCTTATTTTTGTCTCTTTTTTTCTTTAATTGAATTTATGATGCAAACTGCGTGTATTTAGCAAAGCAAAGTGAAAACTGAAAAGAATTCTTTAAAAGAAAATCAAATCTCGTAACATGTCAAGAAACTGTATAGATATAAAAATGACAGTCAGGCAGAGAAATTTAATTACTGCACATAAATCACGATGCCTGGAAGGGTTCGTTTGTCTTTGCATTCAAGTGGAGAGGTTCAATGGAAAACTGGATATCAAGCAAATCGGGATGCACGGTTCACCCTAGTGCCTGCAAAAAATCACGAAAAAGTTCACATAATTGGAAATGTTTTACTTTGTGTGGCTACGAGTAGACCAATAGCTCTAGAAAATTCGAATCCTTTCAAATATCAGTAATCGTCTTTTAATAGTTAGATGCTGCTTAATGAAGTAGAGCGGCTTAATCGTGTGTTCATGCCTCACATCCTTTTGTTCTATTAGTTGTCTGTCTCTCTTCAACGGAATTCCCATTTTCCGTAACCATATTCAAATGAAAGAAAGAAAACCTATCCATAATATCTCCAATCTTTACGGTCCCCGTTGAATTAAGGTTGGAGAAGTTAAACTTACCTAATAAACTCGGGTTAAAAGTGAATGGTAAGTTTGTCCTATTATTATTATTATTATTTACGTAAGGAAAAGCATGTATTGAAATCTATCAAATAGCAAACAAAGAACATTATTGCAGTTTTGTTCTTTTCTGTCGCTTTTCTCCCGTTCGTCGTTTGTCATAAAGTAGGCCCGGGAGAACGGAGGAATATTAAGAATATGCCTTCATTAGTTAAACAAAGTTCGTACAATTTTACCAAACCATCCGTTCATGTGACGGCGTGCGGGGCGGGTGTGTGTATATCGCGTTCACGCAGCATATTTGCCAGCAACTTTTGCATGCGTAGATTTCTTTGGTTGACAGCGTGCTCGAGTGGTTGTTAATGCATACATTCCTCTATGAATTCTGGGCTACTGTTTTCAATGTTTATCTTACATTTTGTCAACTTAAGAGATTTATTAAAAGTTTCCTTTTTTCATTTTAAATTTATTAAAGAATGCACAGACACATACGGTTACGGAAACTAGTTAATGGTAAGACGTTGACAACGGCATTGACACACAGACTACATCACCAACCGCAAAAATGATGGCTCGGGATAATAAAGTCATATGCAGTACATGTTCGCTACATGCGATGAAAATAATTTTGGAATTTTATCTTTAGTTAAAAGCAAAGGTAATTTGTTTATCTTGCATATTAAGCAACATGAAACAAGCTACACGAAATCTACTTAAAACTTGACTGATGACATTTAATAAGTTCAATTATGAAAACTTTTTGAAATTCTCCCGAAAAAGAAGAAAGAAAAGAGAAGTAAGTAAGCAAGTTACGGTAAACTTTGGGTAACCATTATCTAAAGCAAATATACAAAATGCATCTAAAAGTGTTTGTCAGCCCTAGCAATATTCATATTGAAAGCATCCTCTAACGGCCTTTCCGCCGGTTCACATGCAATAGTTTTATTTATTCAATTTTCTAGCCAGAAGCCTTACTCCAACTCACTTTGGCAAGATGTGAATTGTTGCGCTTGAACGTATAGATATGCATCAAACACTGATCCGGAATCTGCATGTTTTTTGATAATTACGGAATGGTACACTCACGCGAATTCACACGCGATACTTTTATTTCTTCAATTTTCCAACCAGCAGTCTGGTTCAAACTCATCTTGGCAACCGCTGATCGAGAATGGCAAAATTAACACACCCACATTTGGCGATGCCAGATATCGAGGAGGAGTAGAGCATTATGACAATGTAACGCACTTGTAAAAATTTTATTTTGAACTGCTTGCGAGTTTCAAGATAGACAAAAAGAAATAATTGCGATTGTTCGATTAAAAGATTTTTGCTTTTTTTGTCTCTTCTTACACTCGTGTATATAATCAAGCGTTCGGAGAAAGCTACGACTTTTAAAGTGTTTGTCAGAAACGGAATTGTGGTTAAGAAAATTTGGTATTGAAATGAAACGATGACTTCAAGAGGATCCTGCAAACGGGATTGTCTCTTCTTGTTAATTATGGAAGAAACCGAGAACGACGGCAACTAAACACGTGATCACTACTTAAGCTACTGATTATCTATGGAATGATTGCATTACAGAAGAGAGATATATGTGTACTTGATGCAGAAATACGCAAAAACGAGATTATCATGACTCAAGGATATTATTTGTGACACAAATCAATCTAGAATTTTGTAAAATTATGTATCGGAATTGTTTGGACTTTCAGTCACAGAAGATCTGTTGCTTGCACGTCCTTTCAACTAATTCGTATTTTTTTTTGAATGATAATGTGTTTATAAAATTCAGCCTACAGCGATTACAGTATTAAGATCTCAGTATTAATTTTTTTAAATAAAAAATGTGTGTAAAAGAAACAAAATTGTTAACTAATTAAAAGCGGCGGAGTCAAGTATCAAAAGAGTTTCCTTTCAAAAATAAATATGTTTGCGGGACGTGTATATCTATCTGCGTATGCATAAAAATTGCAATTCTCCCAAAATCCTATTTAAGCATCAAATGTTATAACAACTGATTGGAGTATCCATCTATTCGTGCGTATTCTGTTGTTGTAATTATCGCACTAAATATTTTTATGCAAAGTGAAATCGAGAAACAGCAAAATTCTGACATATATTTTGCAAACCTTTGTTGGCTCGTAGCGAAATTTTCTCAATAAAATTTCCCTTTTTTTCAATCTATACTTATATACCTGTACTGATACGAGTATATACATACACATGCGTTAACACATGTAGGACAGCTAACGGTAAGTCAATTAATGCGAAAACCAATGCTTTCCCATCCTTACGGCCTGTAGAAAGTGCATTCGAATGCTGTTGTGCACTATACGCATATACGCGTACAAAGGCATAAGCATGTCTACTCGCTCAATAGTGTATGACGCACATACACACAATTTCGTTCACATTATTGTAACGGGCAATGTGACGTTTAACATAGATTTCAATAAAAATAAATAAAAATAAATAACTTTTCTCTTGCTCTTTGTATATTTTCAACATAATTGAAATTTAATACAACGAACATTTTTATACATATGTGTGTGCGGCCATGCATTGGGGATTTATTGAAAAGTTTCACTGTATTGATTTCATTTTATTCAACAAGAAATGTTTCAATATTTGATTTGTTTGCATATATGCGTACAATAAGCACATTTCAAATGCTTGTTTGTGTTCGCATAAATTCCTTTATGAAATGAATTGAATATATGTACGAATTTTCCATCTATCGTTATGTTACGTTTATGTTTAATTTCTTGCACGTATATATGGATGTGTGTGCCTTACCTTTATGCCAACAAATTACTTATTCTTAAAAAAAAAAATTATTCTTATGACAAATTCTTTCAATGCGGTCAATTAGGCTTCATCTGTACATTGTAGTTGTTGGTGTCGTTGTTGTTTAATGCCTTAATTGGCTTAATAATTGCTTCGTATACATATTTACACTTCAAACAAATGAAAAAACAATCAGGCAGAGGGAGATTTTGCAATTTTGAATATAAAACAGCTGGAGTGTAAAAATGGAATTTGTGGGGTTATTAGTGGCGCGCCCATTATCATTGCTTTTGAATGAATATTTTGATAATTTAAAGCAAAACGAAAAGCAGCGTATGCTGTAAGATGTAAGTTATGGAGAATTTTCGTATAGAAATTGTGAAAAGTTATATCCCCGATTTCCCAATTCGTGTTCTTAGCTATTGGACATGTACAGAGTTTAAGATGGGACGCCGTATAAAAGAAGTTACAGCCCATTGATCCCCCTTCCACTGGAAAAGAGACAGCTGGAATTATTTCCTCTCCGATCTTGCTCCGTCTTGCAAGATCGAGCCACAAGATTGCAGAATGCCGCACAAACTATCCGCTTCATAAACCTTTTCAGGTGGTAAGTAAATTTTCATTTTATTGAACTTTCCTTGAGTTTTGTCCCCTACAAGCAAGTCGCTAACTGCCAGTCTATTATTCGAAGTTCACAATAATTATATCTTAATTTTTCTAATGCGATGAAATCAATTCAATTTCATTTTCACATCGCCATGTGTAATATACGGTCGGCCAACCGGCAAAACCCTCATTAAAAATGTGATTTAAAATTTGTATAAACTTGCTGTAAACTTGACTAGAGGTGGTAAGTAATGGACAATAATCCCATGGTGAGGAGCAGTTTTGCTTGGATTTAAATTTAGTGCAGCCCATGACGACCATTCATGCTTACACAACGTGGGATTGCTCGGAGATTACAACAAACACAGAAGGCTATCATCCGAACGTAATTTTGTTCTCTTTCAATGTATTATTTTTAAAAATGTTGTACGAATTTTAAAAATATATTCAATCGAGAAGATCAGTGTCACTCTATTTTACCCTTTTCCTTGCTCACAGAGCAGAGTAGCACAACTATTTGGCCTCATATGTTTAATTATTAAAATATAATTTACTTAATGTAAACTAATAAATTCTTCATGTTTTGCATTCATTTGGACACATTTACATGCTGCCCATTAAATGTAAGCTGAGGAGAAGAACTTCTTGTTTAAAAAAGTTTCATTTCTTTTCATTGCATAGCCTTATAGCAGGAAAAGTAATACATAATTCATTGATCTGAGCAAGACCAGGGAATTTAAATCGAAAGCCGTGTGCGTGCAATTATTCATTCTTAATATTTTACTGAAATAATCTTCATTTGGTTATATTGGTTTTCCTTTAACACGTAACACATAAGATGGAAACGTTGGAGATGAGTGAACGGGCAAACTGATATCGCAGCGCACGATATACGAATATTATGTTTTGCAGTGAAATTTAAGTAAAACATAAAAATGGAATTATATTGACTTAAGGACTTTTAAGGCTTTTTAAGAAGTTCAATATTTATGCATATTAATGACACAAAGACTTCAGCACTTCAATACAAGACACAAGTCTTAAAGTATAAATCCATTTTGGTATTACTATTGTGCATATCCGTACATATATTTAGAACATTCGTTTGAACATGGATTGAAGTAAGAGTTTATTTTGAATTGTATTTTACACACATCGGGAGCGCATCACACTCGTTGCTTGCGAACTCTTTGCACGGTTTAAATTATTAGAAGAGCTTGAAAAAGGCTTTGGGAGAAAAAATGATTTTGCGATTTGCAAAAAAGTCTGCGAAAAATTAACAATTCGGGTCAAATTTGTTATTCAGCGTAGTTACGTTGGATGAAGTGGAAGTGTGTGCGGGCTATTTCAAATGCACTACATATTTCACTACACATTATTTCTCGTTTGATGCAACTGTCCTTTATAATACTACCAACCATCCTATATCGTATTGATTACTCACATGGCCATTTCAAGTGCGTACATATTACTCGCTGAACGAATTTACGTAAAGCACCAACAAATTACATGTAAGCCCACGCAGTGAGTACGGAGAAAAGGCAATCACTAAAGACGCGTCGTGGAGTAAGTTCTGTAAATATTTCACTTAATTTAATTGACGAGATCTTGATTTTAAAAAGTCAGCATAAGAAACTCGCTATCCTTAAATGCCTGTAAATCTTCCCGTGGCATGCCCACTTTTGCCACTTTGATGACGGGTAAATTTTGTGCCCACAACGCAGAAGAAACTAAGAAGAGAAGAATTATCCGTTTTAAGTGAACAAAAGTTGATCTCTGCTGGACTCGGATTATTCAGAGTATCTTAAAATGGATCACATGTAATTATTTTTCATTTGCCATATGACTGGGCAACAAAAATATAAATAGAGTAATAGAGTAAAAAAAGTTTTATGTCCAAAGATCTAAAGGCCAGTTTATATTATGAAGTAGTGCACCATTCGTGCTCCCATATGCTATGGAAATATGATTACAGATATCTCTTTATGGAAAAACCAAGTATCTGGATACAAATACTTTTTCCATTTTTATTCAAAAAAAAAAAAAAAAATCCCTCGTGTGCCTTAATCAAAAAACGTTTTTTTAGTCAAGATATTACAATTCGTTTATGAAACTCAGTGAACTAAATCAACAAGAAAAGTCTACAAAATCGAAAAATGAAATTTGTTTTCTCTTTAGTCTTCCTTCCCGTTTAGGAAAAAATAAATTTCGTAAAATCCAAATATTATTATTATTTTTTTCTTTTTGGTAAATTTTATTTAATGTACTTACTCGGGGACTGTGCAGCAATGGTATACGATTAGCAAATTGTGCTATTGTGGTTGTAGTCGTTTTCCAAACCAAAGTATCCACCAAGGAATGTTCAGTGACACCAGGGCAGGGCAGAGTAACATTTTTGCCAGCCTCTGCTATAATTTTCATATATTCCAAATTTGTTACATCTAAAAAAAAAAGAAGAAAAAAAAGAAAGAATATATATATAAAATAAAATAAAACGAAAATAAAAAAATTACAAGAAATAACAAGAAAAACAGCAAGATATTGTAAAAACATGTGAATGAATTTATGGACATTTTAATATGTTGAACCAATTGAAAATATGCACAAACGGCTTGTGGAGTTCCTTTGCTTGCAGCTTGGAGAACTAACTTTGTGAACTAACACAATCGTAAATTATTTGTTTTATAAAATGGAGAACTTTGGTGCTTCATCTTTACTATGGTGAATGAGTTATTTTTTCTTATTTGCAGACAAAAGCAAAAATATATTGTAATTAAAACTTTTATAAAAATACATTTTCATAGAACGCAAGCACTTGCCTCACTGTGGTCACCATTGGGGTTATATAATATTTTGTTGAGCTATAAAATTGCTATAGAATGACTTCATAAGAGCGCACCTGAATCAATTTTCTTTCTTTTTGATCGCCTTGATAAGTAAGCAAAGCAATGCACAGCTTCACTTGGAATTTCGGGTTGGATTATCTACCTGATTTGTTGATTATCATGCCCTTTGAGAGATTAGAATCTGGGTGACAAACTTGGGCTAGCTTTGGAACAAATTCGAATGTCAATTCCATGTTGAAGTTTATCACACATACGCTTTTAGATTTGCAAGGAGCAAAGTTTGAGAAGCGACTGATAAAGATATTAACGCTTACCCTTTATAATAATTAAAAAATTTTTTTTTTGGGTGAATCCAATACTCGCACTATTTTATTTGCTAAATATCAGCATTTAATGTCACTTAATGGTTTTATTTACTATGAATTGCGATTTTGATCGCAATTTTTAAGGTACAGTAAGAGCTTTAAGGTCTTTGCAGGAGAGTTTCAAACTTTTTTTTTTTACAAGTCGAGAAGGGGCTCAATGTCAATAACATTCTTCAAAAAACTGAGAAAGATCGGCTTGCTTGCTCATATGAGACCACTACGCATGTAAGCGTTAATCAAAAAAACTTCTGAATCGTTTTCATAAGGCTGGACACAAATAGAAGCCTCAAATTTAGGATAAACTGTCGCAAAGAATCCCAAAGTTTCTACAATGCTGGCGTAGTTGTTTTGTCGTAAAATAAGCAAAGATAAGAGCATATAATCGACTTAACAAAGTCTATTTAAAGCATACGAAAACCGTGCTTGAACTTTGATAAGTAAACGCTAGGAACTTTTCGATGATCCCGTTATTTTATTTCTAACATACGATCTATTAGAAATATTAAAATTTCGAAATTATTTTCGTTATTATTTCGCTAAAACAGGCTAACTAAGAATTATGTTGGCAATGTCTTGATTTCTTATCGATTTAAACTTTCACTTCTACCACATCTATTACAATATAAGGGCGAAACATTGCATAAGTAAAATGTCATAAATTAGTTTATTAAATAATGCAGTTGTACTTTATAATTTTAATAGAAACATTTTTTCAAATTATCAATTTAATTTTTTAGAGAACAATTCCATGCACACAATTCATATTATGGCAGTAGCTTTACTTGCATGCGCTTACTGCAAGATTGAAAGACTGAAAATTGTAATAACAAGCACAAATGCACACATATGCATATGTTTAATTGTAGGCATCACTTTCACACTGGTATAAGACCTTTCATCAATTACTCAAGGCAGACAGTAATGAAACACTTGGGTCAAATTGCATATCCGTTGGTCTTGCTCCAAATAAGAGTACTTATGGTAAAGCATGATCCAAATGAAAACATCCAGCTACTCAAATTCACTTTCTTACAAGTGCTTTGTGGTAGTATATGTATGGCATCACTCTCAACGTAAGCCCGACAACAGCTCATTCGACTTCAGAGGGAAGATCGTTAATCATTACACGAAAGAAAAAAGTTTTGTAAAATTTTGTAGTACATGTGTAGATGCCGTAATCATGGCTATAAAAATGTGTATACAGCCATGGCCAAATAAGTATCGTACACTTCACCATGAACATAAACGCAAAAAATTTATGAAGAGATTTACAAAATATATATATATATATATATATATGTATACATTTCACTTTTATTCCCGGAATATTTAAACCAAAAGAAATTTATGTAGTAAAAACGGTGCTGTGAGTATCTAGATTGCTCTGTCATAGAATTTAGAGAAAATTTTCTTTTGCAAAAAGTATGAGGTTAAATGGAATAATAAGTGCAAATTGCACAGGTTCTCTAACCTACAGGTACACCTTGTTAAGCATTGCATTTATAATCTCGCAAATACCTTCGAACAAAGCGACAGACAACCAAATTTTTCTCTTCCTAGAAGTTATCTTTTTGTTCGAGTGTATAATTTTTCAACTGAACTTCTCTTTTCCCTTATTATTATTGTTATTATTATTATTATTATTTTTGCATTTTTTTTATTTCCTTTTTATATCCATGTTTTTCCTATGCTTTCCTCGTTTCTTAGCGTTCAAAAAATATATATATAACTGAAGGATGGAGGTATACTCATTCTACCGAGACGTGTGCAACACACAGAAGGAAGCTTCAGAGACCCCATAAAATGTATATATATATATATATATTCTCGATCAAAATAAAATTCTGAATCGATTTGAGTATATGTCCGATGTCTATGCAAAACATTTCCTTATTTCAAAAAACGAAAGTATTACGTTCATGCTCCGGGGAAACATCAAAGTTCGTGCACTGAGATTGGTAATGATCAATTCGGTCACAGGACACGCCTACGACCTCTGCTTTCTAGAGTTCTCGCTAACTACTTATAAACTGCACACTAAACACAATAAAAATGTCCACGGTAGTGGTACAAAAATGGAAAAAATAGCTACGCTTATTCAATATTACGCGCCTTCTGTACATCTTACGTATCCTATTGTCGAAATATCTTAAGACAATGTGCACATTTTGTCAGATCTTTATATTAACCCAAATTGTAAAACCTCATAGTAACTAAGCATTAAGTGCGTTCTGGTTAACGATAAATATAAATACAATCGAATACAGTCAATATACCGGCTTGACTTAAGAGACAGTTTTTGGCTCACCCGCCTAAAAATCGTTTCACACTTTCACACTGAAGTGGCACGATTACGATGAACTTCTTGTTAATTCCGTGTGAAATTTTTTAGGAGACTTCAATAGATTCCGCTTGTTCCTGCGGGTAAGGGCTTTGAGAGGGGACCTAGTGGTTTTTCGACGTGCATGCTTCAGTCAAATGGTAATTTAAAGGAATTATGTTTTGGCCTACATTTCTCTTTCCTAACGCACATCAATAATAACTTTCTTTCTTTTCTCAGAAGTGCAATGAAGTCCTCTCTCCATTACAGTTTCTACGAGAACGTATCAAATAATTTACAATACAAATACAATCAAAATTGAACAACGTCTTCTCAGAAAATTCCATCTATACATTTTTGTATTGCTTTTGCTTCAAATTACAAAACACGCACACTTCTCATTAGCAGGCGAAATAAGCAAAAACGAAGAGATAACGCTACACTTTTTAGTGGAATGTTTTCTTCACAGTAATGCTTAACTATGCTGGCAATTAAGAATGGAACTCTTTAATTGAATAGATAAAAAATTTTAATTGGAATTTGGGTTTACATATTTGCTATTTATGTGTCAATGGCTGTATATATGTGTGCTCACTACTGTGGAATATTTTTATTATATTTTTATATGAAAACTTGCAAATAGTTAATGCTATCTTAATAAGTTTTTATGTACAAAGAAAATAAACAAAATATATAATTAAGAAAAAAAAAAAAGAAAAAAAAAAAAAACAAATGAATAAATAAAATGAAAAGAAAATTAAATGCACTAAAATAAAATTCACCTTAACTCTTGCAAAATTTTGCAGATTGTTTTCTTTATCTAAAATAGGAAAAACCACAAATAATATTTTTATCTCTGTAAAAATACAAAAACCACTCTTCCTATCTTTCATATTTATAAACATTTGCACCAATGTTTCATCTGTTATTTAAACTTTAATAAATTGTGGCTTCGTACCTTTGTCTTTCATATGTATATGTAAATGTTTACAAGATTTCTACGTTAGGAAGTATTGCAAACGAAATTTGTAATAAATCAAAAAGATAAGCGAAAGTTTTATTCAAAATTCTTTGTTAAAGGATTTCGTTATTAAAAAATGTGAAGAATTTTAATAAAAAATATTAAAAAATGCTATTCTTCTTCACCAAACAAACAGATTTACTCTTTCTTCATAGATAATGGATTCATGTCCACAAACGAAATAGACGACTGAGTTTATTACATCAGGCTTGAAACTCGAAAAGTCGATAGCTAAGTAACTAATAGGGTTGAAATTTCGGAAAATTTTTCTCAAAATAACTTATTATTATTATTATATGGCTAAGCTATCCAAGTAATGAAAAAATATATGGGGACCATTATAAAGACATAATGCGTTGTCGCCTTTCCATCCTTTTGGCGTCCAAAGATAATCGGTTTGTATTCATTATCAAAGCCATGTGTTGATTTACTACATAATATATGGATAGATTTCATCTTTGTTTGCTTTCGGTAACTTACATACACCCTGCCGCCTGTTGTCGAAAAGTTATTTTGCCAAAAGAGACGTAAAGTAAACAACTTCGATGTATTCGATGTAAAGGAAAGAAATGCGCTTTGAAATATCTTTGTCATTGCATTATATATAATCGTCCGGGATATATAACGTGCATTTATCTGAATGAAATTTTTAATTGTTGCCCTACGGACACATTACGTACATTTAGGAGCAGCGCTTTTCTTAAGTTTTTCCAGCATTCGATTTCTAACTGATCGACTAATAGTTCATGACGGCAGTTTCAAATACTTTTCTTTAAAATAATCCGCTGACAATATACGGTCATGATTGACAAGCGAAATAATGGGATTCTGCGTGGGAGTCTGCATATATACATCAGAAATCGTAATTCTTATCACAGCGTTTTACAAA